CTAGGGGTGGTAGAGAGAGGCTGGTTTAAAGTTAACCACAAGAATTTTAAAATATGATTGTTGTAATTTAAGTGTATCACATTAGAGCTACAAAACTAGAGACAATCAGATTTTAGTTAATGATTTTAACTGATGACTGAATATTTTACTACTAAAGTTCACACTGTTTGTCAAACTGTCATCCATGACTGATTTTTCTGAACTGCCATTTTAAGAAGTTATCTTACCCAATGCTGATACATTGATGGATGCGACAAAATGTCTCAAATATAAAGAGACGGGCATTCTCAATGAAGTCCTCAAGGCATGCCACTAAGAAGAAGTCATTCACAAGCACCTGCAAGCATAAGGAGAAAAGGAACACTGAGAACAAACACAGAAGTAGTAATTCACTAGTAGACACCATCAATAAGCAAGATCAGTGAACAGTTCCTCTAAAAGCAGTTCTTGGTATATTCCAAGATGTGTAGAAAAAGGTACAGATTTAGCAGAAATTTTCACTGTTCTGCAGCTTGCTAAGTTAAGTATCACATGCTAACATGATCACTGAGGTCTGACTCAAGAAGAGAACAAGGTCTACTGCCATCACAATTCTACTGAAGGTCTCTCCAACACATACAATTTAACTCCCCCTTCATATCGTAGGATTCTTCTTTCAGTTTGCAATTTGATCAGCATTCTCCTTATCATGCAAAACAGCTTGCTTAGCATAGGCCTATAACGTTCAGATTACACAACCACCAGCCCTATGCAGTGAAGATGACTGCAAGCCTTCTGATTTACCCAATCAGGTGAGACTAACACTAATGAAGTGAAAGCCAAAAAAGAGGCTAAGAATTGGTACTAGTCTTCAGCTACTAGAAATAGTGATTTTACACTAGTCATGCCCAAGTGTTAGGTATCTTCAACTGCTCACAGTAGTTTAAGAATTTTCCAAGAAGATATATTTAGCTATCCTAATGTTATTTCACATTACTTTTCACCACTACAATTCCAGGATGCACTTCTCAAACACAAATGGAAAAGCTGAAACTCAGCCAAATGTATGATCACTTATTCACTTCTTGTTCTAGAACTGCTTAAATATAATTTTAAAGCTATATCCTTACCAGTAAGTCTCATTTTAAGTGTTACAAAATTAATTGTCAGAAAAAAACCCAAACCCCACAAACCTGTGAATTAAAGCTCATCAATAAACATTAGCAATGGAATCAAACACTACTTCAAACAAATTAGCTGGTCACTGTGAATTTTAGAGATCTTTACTATAAGGAAGAAAAGTCTTATACATATTATAAACCTTACTGTTTCACACTCTCTCAGCTTCTTCTGTGCACCATCGAAATCGAAATTAACGTACAAGCATTCCACAAACTCTGTGATAGGGTCCCTGTATGTGTAGGATTCCTGTCAAAAAAAAACCAGGAACAACATTAGAAATTAAGGCCACAAGGTCACTCAAGTATTCTGTATATTTTTCAGACAAAATTTAATACTAGAAACAAGTCCATACATCACCTTAAAAAATTTAGTTAAACTTCTCAATTCCTCTCATAAAAGCTGTATAAATACACTTTTTTAAAATTCCCCAATAGTCTGGTTAAACAAGCAGAAGCATAGTTACATTTTCAGTGTTTAGTGCTGGAATCTGAGGCAGAAAAATGCCTAGACTAGGGCTGGTTCTGTACCACACCTCCAAATTTCTTAAAATATGGTAGAACAGATAGTCTTCCTAAATCATGATTTTGAAGACTAGTCCAACACCAAATCCTTCATACTTCAAATGGAATGATCGCTCAATCTACACGGACAACATAGCTAACATTAACAATGCCACCCTCTGGATACAAAATACTGGAATTTCCTTCAGCATTACAGGAAATTACTTGACTTTCTCAACTACAAGGCAGGAACAACACCAGGTGTATAAGCATCTGTGTAAATTAAGAGGTAATTAAACATCCTCTGATGGGTGTCTAATGCATATTTTAGACAGCTTAACTCAATAGCTGTCAGTATCTGCTTTAGCATATAATAAATTCAGCAGATTAAGGGAATTACTAAAAGAAGTTTATATTACATTAGAAGTTCAATGCTAAAACACATTTTAGCCCAAGATGAAAGATGAGTCAACACTTCAACTAGTTTGTAGCTTCTTATGCTACTTTTGTGAGCACTAATGCTTAAAAACAGATCAAGAAATGCTTGAAATGTGATCACTGCATTGATCGTGCTCTGCTTGAAGTGCATAGAATTGATTGCTAGCCTGGAATAAATCCACTGTCATGGATATATCACCATTTGCTATTCACAATTGGTTGTTATCAAAGTCTTTGAAGCATGACAGCTTGTATACAAGCTGCATGCTGATTTCAGACAAAACTCTTTGCCATAACTCCCTTGACTGCTATCAAGCACAATTCTTTCACTGCTCTTGTCCATGTCTACATCCTCATACAACTGTAATAGAAGCATTTAAGAAAACACACACAAACCCAAAACAATGCACAGTTCAGTGGTTCTGAAATACAAACAAGGTCCCTTATTCATAAAACAATTCCTTCTAGAGATGGCTGAAAAAGAATCGGCTCCAAAGTAAATTCACATTATCTCGCTTAATTTTCTGCATTTAATCACATAGAAAAAGCAAAATTGAGAGCATATTCTATTTTGCTCATTGCTTGTTTACATAAAAGGAGGAAAAAAAATTTCTGTCCTCCCACTGACATGCATTTTACTTCAGTGAAAAATTAGTTCCAGGGGAGAAAGTGAGCACCAAAATTTTTAAGTAGGCATATTAACCAGGCGTATTATTAGAGAAAGGTATTCTGAAATCTCAGTAAAAAAAGGACACAAAATATCCAATATTTCAGTCCTTACCTGTTGAATAACCTTGACTAGATCTTTCAGCACTTGTCGACGTTTTCGAACGTCCTTATTTGTTATGACTGCGGTAGTCAGATATCTGAGGATATGTGGACACATTGTCTGAATTGCATTGAGATACCTAGAAAAAAATACAGCTAAAGCTCAGGTAATGCAATTTTGCATCAAAACAGTATTAATGATAAATAGCTTATGCACCTTTAATGCAATACAATACAACACCAGAACTTAAGAATGATTCAAATATAGAAGGATGATTTATTTTTGTTAATCTTGTGATCATCTTTGTGGGACAGGAGG